TCTGATATAGTGGAAGACATTCAAAAGTCATGGTCGTTTCCAAACATGTATTTTATTTTATTTTTCAAACATTGCCTTTAAAGATCAATAAAAGAAAAAGAAAGAAAAACAACATACTGCCCCAGAGATGATGGGAAGGGAAGATTGGCATCTCCTGTGGAACCCTGTTTCCTATTATGGACTTCTCTCTTTTCTTCACCTCTCAAAGTTGATGGAACAAGCAACTTTGCTTATAAGGCATTTCTAGTGGCTGATGCAGAGCTTGGCCCAAAGTAGGACCAAAACACACAAGTCAATGTTAAACCCATCTGCTGCAGGGACCTCCTTGCAAGTGTTCATGAAAACCACAGTGAACCGACAACAGACCCCGAAGGATAACATTTTTGGTGGCACTTGTCTTCAGTTGAAAATGCTTTATTTCACCGACTTCTTAATAAAAAGGAAGGGGGAGCACCATGGAATTTGTAATACTGATAAATATATATACTGTTATTAATATGGATAATGTTTATCTCTATATACAAAAATTTCTGTACACATTTATAGACAGGATGAGCATTTTGGAGGAAGGTGAAGAGTTGATGCTTTTGAGAGCACTTTGGATTTATTTTTTTAAATGCTTGCCCTTGTTGAGGGAGGGGGGAAAACACTTTTTGAAAAATTAAATGTCCTGCAAAATGAACCAGTCCTGGAATGTAAATATTTTTGACTTTTGACTTTTTCCTTAAGAATGAAAAAAACATTGAGTTTTCACACTGCAATGGATGAAAGGATACCACTTAGGAAATACAAGGCATCTGAACGATGATACAGCAACCGATCCATCAAAAATGAAGGCATTTGACATTTATATTCAGACAAACTCAGTTCCGTGTTTTACTCATCCCTGGAAATTCTTTTTTCCCTGCATTTTCACAGGTTACATCAGCCTAACAGAATCACCTGATGGATGAGCTGGTCCCAGCTCCCATTAAATTGATTTCTTTCATCAGTGATCATTTATGAATGAAGCAAATCAACAAGTTACTTAAACAAAGACTCTATCCCATTATTAGTGCATAGTCAATACAAATGGACAATCTTTTATTTCCGTTACATGCCAATTTCACACATATTTTTTTTTATTTAGGATCCTATTCCACGTATGCACTGATTTGCAGGGCTTTTTGTAAAAAAAAATCTTCTCAAAATATGTACTTAAATACATGTTTCTTTTCAAAATAGATTTAAAATGTACATTTTCCTTCAAAATACACATTTAAATTTCATAAACAGTGTTGCAACATTTGGTGAAGTGTGATAACTAATAGAAAGCAAAGCTGTACTCTTTATACAATATTTGAAGGACAGATCAAGTCATTCCATACAGGAATTTGGAAATATCAATTCCATTAAGATGGAAGAAGAGGTCAGAAAATCTTAAAACATTGTGGCCATGATTAGTTGTTCTCTTAAGATGGAAACACAACTGGATTCTTTAGCTGTATATCTGTTGCCATGTTGTTCCTTCCTCAGGAAATAAATCTACTCGATAACGCTGCTTTTACTTATTCATCCACGTAACATAAATGGGGGAGCACCATTCCTATGTGCACCCATTATTCCAGGGGTCTCCATAAGACTTGTGGACTTCAATTCCCAGAATTCCCCAGGAAGGCCACAGGTTTTAAAATTGCAAGATTGGAGACCCCTGTGTTATTCTCTAGGGCAGGTGTGTTAAGGTGGAATTTGCAAATTTGCAAACAAATGGGAGTTTTCCCCATTTGATATTATAACATCTGGATCACAGTGGATCTTCAAATCATTTTAGTCAAAGATCATCACCTAGCAGTCCCTTTTCCTGTGCATGTACAACAACATTTTTGACAACTGCCTGTACAATCCTTCCTTCAATCCTTTAATGGTCTTTGAAACCATACATTCTTGAGAAATCTCATAGGAGCCCTGGTAGCGCAGTGGTTAGAATGCAGTAGTGCAGGCAAATATTTGCCTTCAAACTGCCCACAGTATAGAATTCGATCCCAATGGGGTCAAGGTTGATCCAGCCTTCCATGCTTCCGAGGTTGATAAAATGAGGACCCAGATTGCTTGGGGGCAATGTGCTGACATTGTAAACTGCACAGGGAGTGCTGTAAAACACTAAGGAATGGTATGTAAGTCTAAGTGTTACTGTTATTGCTATATCTCCCAGGACATTTCTTCCCAAATCTGCTTCCTTGTCATTCAGTCTCACTGGCAGTAATGCTGATCTGTGTTTTGTAAGGTAACCATTCATAGAATTGTCATATCTTTTATAGTCTACCGTTTAATGTTTATATTACAGCATAAGTCCCCTTTTTTCCCTCTTGATCTCTCATCTTGTTTTGCTTTTTCCCCCTTCAGGCTAAATGAAGGCAATTCTTTCAAGCATTCTTCACAGGACTTTTCAAAACACGCCTTCATTCTGGTGAACATCATCTCCATTTGGTCAATGCTTATCTAAAAAACTGTTGGCCAGGGTCTGCATTATTTATCTGGTTATTTCCAAATCCCAAACTCTCTCATCTCTTGTACTCTGGACAGTTTCCAAAGAGGAAAACTCTTATTTCTTCTGCTTTGTGACTACATTCATCGAAGATTTCACTCTATCTTCTTATACACACCTATCATTTTCAGCTAAGGGACTGGCATTCTAATAGGAACACTTAAATCTTTGAAATATATATTTTCCCCCTAAAGTGCAAGAAAACTTGAGCAGAATGGATGATCCATACAGAATGCATACATGCATGCAGGTGGCAGCTGCTTTCTTAAAAGAGGTATTTTCCTGATAATAGCTGAAGGAACAAGAATGGTTCTTACAAAGTGGTATCACCCTTATTCTTTAAAACAAAGCGTGTGTTTCCCTTTTAGAACTATTTCCTCCTCTATGCAGAATTGTTTTGTTTCAAGGCAATAGGTCAAACAAATATATCCATAGACCCATCTCATTCCCAGTCAATCTTACTTGACTAAATTTGGTGACATCCATCAGGAAAACTTTCTAATGGAATTAGCAACTGGACCCTAAGTAATTCCTTTGTGGATGTGTCGCTTTGCCATTTAGGAAAATACAGCAGAGGATGTGGGAACATATCTTGCCATCATGGGCTGGGGATAATGGGGAATGGTGTCCAATAATGTATAAAAGAGAGAACCACAAGTTCCTCAATCTTTTATACCGGAACCTATAGAAGAGTTTTGATTTGAATAGCTAAAGACTTTTCCTGTCTTCATCCCATCAGCCTCTCCAAGGTAAAAGAGGGGTGTGTAGAAAAGATGAATTTGAGGACTGGAATATTCTCCCCGAGATTTTAAGTTAAGCCACAGGGGAAGAAATGACTCATTTAGAAGCTCTTAACGGTCTGTACTTTTGAGTCAGGAAATGTAAGCTCTGGTAACACCTCTCAAAATAGCAACTCAGGTGATGCGATAATGAAAGCAACAGATTCTATGCTCAAAAACCGATATCTTACCCATAGAATAATGTCGGTTTTCTGAATATGAGCAGTAACATAAAAAGGAGCTTTTAAAATATTCTCACAAGTGAAATGAGCGCCTCCGTTTCTGTGTTGGACCATACCCCGTTTGTAAAGTTAAGTACTTCTATAGTGTAGGTCAGTTCTTGCACAACAGAGAAGTTGATTGTTAGACTATTTAGTTCAGGGTCTCCAAGCTTGGTACTTTTTAAGACTTATGGACTTCAACATTTGCATTCTTTTGAACTGCTAGGTAGGTAGGAGCTGGGGCAAGTAACAAGAGCTCACCCTGTTGTGTGGCACTCTTGTGTTGAACCCAAGCTGTCAGCTTTCCAGCTGACAAATTCAGTGTCTTTAACTGCTGAGCCAGCACACCCCTCTATATAATCTAGCCTAAAACAAATATATATGGGCCTTTTCCAGAGCCGGCTTTGATGCCCTCCCATCAGCTCTACTGATTGGAAGATTTCATGGGTCCTTATTTGAAGAGACTTTGCCCTTGTGGATTCAAGAAGGAAGAACTCTCACCCATGACCTCATTCAGGATGCTTTTTAATGACGTTCTCTGATCGCCCCAATCTCTTCCAAATATAAGACCCACACTGATAAATTTTATGCTTATTATTTTTTAAGTGATGCTAACCACATACTTGCATTTCAGATGGCCAAATACCTTCACCAAGGTGCAAAACTGTGCAAAACTTTCAGTTAGATATGTTGTTTTGTAGTCCTGTTGTTTCTTCCCCTTTCCTAATAATGAATTGTTATGTCAAACTATATTATGTTATTGTAAAAGATGGTCAAAGATTGTATTAAAGATTTGAACTTAAAAAATATCTCATGGAATCAGAGAAATAGCCATTTCCAACTGACAATTTCCAGAGGCATTGAAACTACAGCTCCCAGGACAACCAGCAGTCAGAATTCTAGGCGCTGTAAATGCCAACATATCTGAAGGCTGCAAAACTGGGGAATCTTTTGCTCAAAACTGTCCGGCTGTAGCAAAATTGTAAAAGAAGATGTGAAATAGACTTTCCAAATATAACCCTTCTTCAAGTGGTCTCCCTTGCTCTATCGTCTACAAATAGATACATATCTTGAAAATAAGCACCACACAGGTTATTCAGCTTCAATCAACCTGAAAACAACACCTTGCTTTCTAATAAAATTTATATACATATAAAAACTCCTCACCTTGTTTTCCTTGACAGAATATGATACACGAGAATTGCATCAGAACCTGCCTCTTCAAACCTTTTAAAGGTATTAGCATCAACCCCACCAAAAAGAGGGTTTCTCCAATTAGAAGTACATCCCATTACAGCGGTTCCACGGTATTCAGTGTTAATTGGTTCTGCGAGGTGGGACAGGTACTAAAAAGTACAAGTGCCAAACAAGTCAGGTGACTTACCACATGAGCTTTGTTTTGGTTGGGAAAAACTTTCTGCCTATCCTTTTTCCTATGTCGGTGACCTTCCCAGCATGGCTGACTTCCTGCCCAGTCTCTGTAGCCATCCTCCTTTTTCTTTTGCAGTGTGCTGAATACCAAAGAAACTACAAGTACCGGGACAACATTTGTGGCACAGTGGTTATAGTGCAGTCCTGCAGGCTACTTCTGCCGATCACCGGCTGCCAGTAATTTGGCAAATTGAATCTCACCAGGCTCAAGGTTGACTCAGCCTTCCATCCTTCCAAGGTGAGTAAAATGAGGAGCCAGATTGTTGGGGGCAATATTCTGACTCTGTAAACCGCTTAGAGAGGGCTGTAAAGCACAGTGAAGCGGTATATAAGTCTAAGTGCTAGTGCCATTTTTGCACCAAAATGCATCGAGTTAATGAAGGAGAGAAGCAACCTAGAACTTAGGAGAAATTTCCTGACGGTGAGAACAATTAATCAGTTGAACAACTTGCCTCCAGAAGTTGTGGATGCTCCAACACTGGAGGTTTTTAAGAAGAGATTGAACAACCAGTTGTCTGAAATAGTATAGGGTTTCCTGCCTGAGGAGGGGGGTTGGACTAGAAGACCTCCAAGGTCCCTTCCATCTCTGTTATTCTGTTCTGTTTGGTTCTGAGTACCAACCTTGATGAGTTTTGAAGTAGTTGAATACCGAGGTATCACTATATTGAGAAATTCCCAAGGGTTCACTTAGAGGGGAAACTTCTAAGCCAATGTTTCTCAACCTTGGCAACTTTAAGGTCTTCAACTTCAAAGGTATTTCCAAGTATATCATTTAAAGTTCACCAATCATTAAAGCTAGAACTTCTTTTCTTCTCTTATTTTCGCAATGAAAGAAGTGACTTTCCACAAGCAGAATATTTCTCTGAGCTCCCATATTCTGTATTTATATAAAATTGTATGCCAGGCTTAGCCTTTTTAACGCGCTAGTTGTACAAACTCTGCAAAAGCGCACATGGCATCTGTCTTTGCTTTAAACTCCAGACACCACATGTTGCTAGTCCCATTAATCAATCTTCATCTTCACATTCACATCCACAGGAGGAAGAAAAAGAAAAAGAACAGCCCTTCTGTTTCAGCCTCAGGTTCCCATCTGTTCTATCTTTCGATAATTCCATTCTGCTCACTTATTTAAATCTGGCACAACTACATGTTACACCTGGGCCTCTGAGGATTGTCCCTTAACTATACTGAACCAATTCCATTCTTACTTTTCCACACTGGCTTCAGGTGATGAAACATATAGCATCTGATAATACTTGACTTACCTATGATTTACATACTTGCCTCTGACCTTGGGAGCAGTAACAAAAGACATCACACACATCATCATCATCATTGTGCTCGGATACAAAAATCTAGGACTGTCCTCTCAAACTTGGAGTACTTGGAAAGTGATGTCCTAGGGCTCCTCAGAAGCATCATATCAGTTAGAAGCAAAATTTAGTTTTTTAATGAATTCTTGCTCCGTCACCTAAGATGTTTCTCAACTTAGCTCTTGAAAAGAACTTTCTGTCCCATCACCCATTTGGGATTACATTTATGAACACTTTATGTTATTATACACATTCCATCTTCCTTCTGAATGTTTCCGTACCTCTTATCTCTTTGCCCTACTATATTTAGCTGCTCCTTCTGGAGAGAGGCATCGTTTCACTTTCCCCAGAATTCACTGTGGAAGAAAAGGCTTTATACCCTCCCCCCTCCACTTTCTCCTCCAAAAAAAGGAAGAGATTCCAAAATAGCAGGTGCCACTGATGGCCATGGTCCTTCCATTCTCTCCTTCCCAAAAAGTCCTGAGATGTGACATTTGGGCGTTCTGGAGGGGGGAAAAAATCCAGAAAATGGTAGATGCATGAAATAATGTAAGCTGCCATGTCATTCCTAAAAGTATCGGCCTGGGTTTCCATTCATATTTATGCTTCGTTTTCCCCATTTTTCCCAGAAGGAATGCATCATCTTTATATCTGTTCTGTGAACCAACAGATCTTCTTTCCCTTGGCTAAGTCAATCAATATCCTGACCTAGAAAAATCTTCTTCCTTTACTGCATTTATCAACACAGTAACTAATGCTCTTTGTTGACAAGACTAAAAGTATTTTGAAAAAAACAAACAAACAGATTCATGGCCTGAAATCCAAAGATTTCAGAGGAAGGAGGTCAACATCACGGGTGCCACCAGGCACCTGAAGCCCCCCCCTCTTTTTTAATGTGTGTTTTATGTCTCTCGTGCACCAAAAAGGAGCAGGGTCTCAATCACTTGAATGACAACTGCCACTTCAATGCTGTTTACTCCCTTATTATGGCTCCAGATGAAAACCATTCATTTACATCAGTGTGATGCATTTCATAAAGGATACAAAGGCACATTAACAACTTTGCATTTTTAAAAAAACTTTTGCACATGGATTTGTCTACATCTTGTTGCCTGAAAACTGGAGGCTTTGGACTTTTTAAGTGGAATGGCCAAATGTTCTGAACAGGCAGGTCCTCCACATTTGGTAAAAATTTGCTTAGCCTATCTGGAGTGTCTGCGGCTCTTTAAACAAATGAATGGCGCACCTCAATTTTCATGCAGAGCACATCCCCTGCTCTAATGCTATTCTGCATTAAAAACTCCTCTAGTAATTATCTCAACAGATACCTTGCACCAAGAGTGGGAGATGTAGAAATAATCTGTTTAGCTTGGCTGATGGAGCAAAAGAAAGAAATGAGATCCAAGGTCTTGGATTCTTATAAAACCATACCTGCGCACCCTTCATATTCTTATGCTGGCACCTTTCAACACTAACTCCTGTAAGTTCTGACTCCAAGCCAAACTGCACAAATAAAGCTACCTATTCCAAACCCAACCAGCTCACCTTTCCAAAGCATAAACGTCTTCCCACCACATTAGTCATAAGTGCCGAAAACAGCTATCCGTCACTGCGTTTTCATTCCAAAACCGCCACCAACACACACAGGAAAGTCTACACTTGACTCTGAAACAGAAATATCTGGATTAATAAAGACCTTTCCTTTCTCCCTCATGCCCCTTTGCTTAAACATGCTTATGAACTGATTCTCTTCTGGCTCACATGCTTGTTGGTGATCTGTGAAGTCTGCTTCCGTGCATGAGTTATTGTGGCAAACTTGTTGAAGGGGTTGCACTACTGAGAGTTTCATGGGTTAGATAGCCCTACTTGGAAAGATGCCTGACAGGGGCTGCAGTCTGCAGGCACCATCATTCTGGAAATTTTCTGACAGGGAGAACAATTAATCAATGGAGTTGTGGGTGCTGCATCACTGGAGGTTTTCAAACATAGACTGGACAACCGTTTGAGTGGGATGGTATAAGATCTCCTGCCTTTAGCACAGCGTTGGACTAGATTCTATGGTCTAAGTAAGGCTCTTCCAAAGCTTGTTTGGAACAAAACACTCCAGTGTATGGTTACGGTGGTTATGAAGAATATCTGAACACCTTCATTTGAAAGAAAGATACACATGTGCTTTCTTCCTCTTAGATGACTGGGGTTTTGTTCTGTTTTTACAGCAGTTTTCCTGCCACATAGCAATTTATAAACACTCTTTGGAGGCAGGCACTCATTTGGAGACAAGAAAGAGGTGGCTATAAAGACAGAATGAAAACTGTACAAGTCCAATGAGCATTTGAGTCCCATGTTGCTTTCCCAAAGACTGCAACTGCAGGCTGATCCTTTTTTTTTTTTTTTTGCCCACAAAGCATCTTAAGCTTTCAGAAGAAAATTCCATTGCTTCCTCCAATCTCCTGTGGCCGTGTTGACAGGGGCTGGATTTTGCTTGTGGTCTGCTGCCTGTAGTGCTCGGTTCTTTCCAGCCGATGAGTCTTAGGGTCACAAGGAGACCCACCGGAGATGCCCATTCTGCACACCAGTATCCATATACATAGAAATGAGACGCAGGTATCAAACTCATGGCTGGCATATGCACAACACTGTGTACATGGGTTGAGTTTGTATAGGCTCTGCTCTGCTGGCAACTAGAGAAGCAGGAGGAGGAGGAGGAGGAGGATAGGAACAAAAATGAAGGTAGAGAATGAACAACATAGTCCTTGTATCTTGCCTTTTTTTCATTTTTATTCCATTGCATTGCTTTGTTTTCTTTCTCTCTCACTCACTCTAATTCAAAAAAAAAAGTCTGGGTGCAAAATGCAGGTTTGGCCCAAACCCAATACAAACACTTGCCTTTGGGATGCTTGGACAAGATGCTATCTGGTCTCCAGTGAATCCAGATATTCCAGCGCTATGTCATAGCAGAAGTGGTACTGTTCCTTTAAAGGAAAGGGAAAACAAGAGAGTGAGTACATGCAAACTTTATCCTGCTAAAGCTATTGTAGAAAAAGGTGGAAAAGATTTGCCGGGATAGAAAATGGGAGATGACCTTGGAAACTGAATGAAATGGGGAGCACAAATATGATTTAAGCTCAGGAAAAGAAGGGAATATTAAAAAAGAAACTTGAACTGGCTTATCTTTAGTTCTCTATGGTATAAGAGTTAATATTCATCCTTGTGGCCAACAGAAGAATTTTGGCTTTGGTGCTACTGCTGAAATGGCGGTTGGAGTTCTAGTCTTGTCATGGGACAATATTAACATGTGCAGAGGACTCTTCTCATTAAGAATATTGGGGAGAGCCAGGTTATTTGGGATCATGGGGGGAGGAATGGCTTTGATGTGGGACTCTGGCCCTTCTAGTGGAAGCTTGGAATACCCTTCCAGTGGAAGCCATATGGGCTTGGAATACCCTTCCGGTGGAAGTCACAGGCTTGGAATACCCTTCCAGTGGAAGCCATATGGGCTTGGAATACCCTTCCGGTGGAAGCCACACGCTTGGAATACCCTTCCAGTAGAAGCCACGGGCTTGGAATACCCTTCCAGTGGAAGCCATATGGGCTTGGAATACCCTTCCAGTAGAAGCCACGGGCTTGGAATACCCTTCCAGTGGAAGCCATGGGCTTGGAATACCCTTCCAGTGGAAGCCATACGGGCTTCAAATACCCTTCAGGTGGAAGCCAGATCAAGCTGGCATTATTTGACTTTGGTCCCCTGATTTCTGCTCTCCTGCTCTTGGCATATTATCTACAGGTAGTCCTTGATTTACAACCATTCGTTTAGTGACCCTTTGAAGTTACAATGGCACTGAAAAAAATGACTTGTAACTGGTTCTTGCACATACTGTAGAACCATCCCAGCATCTCCATGGTCATGTGATAAACATTTGGGCACTTGACAACTGGCATGTATTTACAATGACTGTAGCATCCCAAGGTCATGTGATCACCATCTGCAACCTTCCCAGCTGGCTTCCAGCAAGCAAAGACAACGGGGGAATTTGGATTCGTTTAGCGACAGTATAATTGACTTACTTGCAGTGATTCAATTAACAAAAAAAAAGATGCAAAATTGGGAATGACTCAATTAACAACCAGCTTGCTTAACAATGGAAATTTGGGTTCCTGTTGTGGTTGTAAATCAATGACTATCTATGTAATCTGATTATGTTTTGTTCTCTACTTCTTGGTTAGCATTGTTTGCTATTTCATATTTTAGCTAACTGCTTGCTACATTTGGTGGCGTGGATTGCAACCCACCCCAAGTTCTCTTAGGTAATGAGTTGTTTATAAATTCTTTTAATAAGATAATAACATAATAAATAAAAAGAGCTACCAGAAAGTGGTCCTGGGAGAAGATTATTTAATCTTGGCTGTGGTCTTAACTTGAAAACCCTGCTTGACCATTAAGGGAAACAATAATTCAATATTGTACCTGCAGATAGGGTTCCCTTCTCTCACTTGATTAAAATTTAATTCAAATTAAATATATTTTTTTAAAAAGGGAGGGTGCTGAAAATTCATGTGAGATTTCAACATTATTACATGTCATCTCAGGATGAGCTTGCCAATATTTTTCAACAACTACAACCTAACAAAATAAGATTGCATAATGACACCAGAGATCTGAAAAATTGGCAACCCCTAAGATAAGCCTTTGGTTGATGCAGGAAGTGGCTTTTGGTTTTTGCAGTCCGAAAGGGAGGTGACTTACTACCTACTTGTCAAAAAGCCTAAATTATATAGGAGCAACCATTTCATGAAAATCCTTTTTATGTTTAGTTTAAAACAACAACAACAGGGCAGCTGTTTTCAGCTATGGCAACTAAGTTCTGAAAATAGTAAATCCCTGTCTAGGAAGAATTAAGTTATAGCAAAAAGGTTCCAGTGATAAGGTAATTGTGACAAAGATCTACAGTACAACTGATTAAGTTATTCCCTGTAAATTCTAAACAATGTTCTATTGCAGAAAGTGATCTAAAGATGCCATGAATCCTTTTATTCAAAATCTAATCACATCTCAGAGTGGGTGGTAGGGGAAGAAAAATAAATAGCTCAAGAAGTACTGCATTATTCCAGTTAGGAAAATATTTAAAAAATCATGGTCTTGAACTCTCTGAATTTAAAAGCAAGAATGATGTAATCATTGAATTGAATAAACATGGGGATAGTTGTGTTGAGATACTTCTAACCCAGAAGTATGGAAGAAAGACATTCAATGTTCCATAACATGTTACAAGATAACTCACAATTCACAAACTATTATATGGGTCGGGACACAATTATCTTTTCATTTTCACACTTCTCTGAATTTTGTAATACAGCTCTTATAAAATGCACTCATTTCTCACACCAAGCAAGAGAAAGTATGTTAGGTAAGGCAATATTCAAAACTGGGTAATAGTAGGAAGCCTACACTAATATATGCAAACGGATGTAGAAACCAGTTTAATGTAGCAGGTTTATCTTTATGAAAATAAAAAGAATTAGAAACTTGTAGAAACTGAGGTTGGCAGATCTTCTACCTCTAATCTAACCTCAGGCCTTTTATGTCCTATTTTATTCAACAGAATAGTTGTGAGGTTGAAATCAGAGGGGGGGGGGAGGAAAATACTTATGCTATTCTGACCTACTTGGAGAAAACAACAAAGTATAAATGTAGGCATAAATAATAACCTAATTCCCATTATTCTTTCTACTCAAAGAAGCTAGAAAAGTATAACAGTATTAGCTACAGTTCTATACACACCCTACCAAGTTATGTGTGTAGACATGCCTTTGAGGTAATCCGGATTCTTGAATCTTGACTCTGGAAATGGTTTGCCATTGCCTGCTTCCTCGGATGGAGAGAGTGACTGGCCAAAAGTCACACAACTGGCTTTGTGCCTAAGCAGGATTAAAAATCTTGGTCTTCCAGTTTGTAATCTGATGCCTTTAATGTCAACTGGTTGAAAATATATTCCCAGATGTGATTGCTTACTGAGTAATGATCTACAGATTTATTGTATGGCTTCTGCCTACTCCACCAGGTTTAATACAGAAGTTGGAGGGAGGGGAGAGTAAAGGTTTCCCCTGTCCAATCACATCCAATTCTAGGGGGCAGCTCATCTCTGTTTCCTAGCCAAGGAAGTAAGCATTGTCTGAAGTTGCTTCCATGGTCATGTGGCCAGCATGACTATACACCAAGGGACATGGAATGCTGTTATCTTCTCACCAAAGTGATACCTATTTATCTACTTGCACTTGCACTTTTTGAACTGCTAGGTTGGCAGAAGATGGGGCAAGAACGGGAGATCACCTCATCATGTAATACTTGAATTTTTCTGGTTAGTGAGCCAGTGTCATAACCATTAGGTCATCAAAGGTCCCTTCTATTAAACAATGTTGGAGTTGGGTATCACCTGACTTAGATAGAACAGAGAGTTGGGTGGCACTGAGGATCTGGCTGTTTTCTAGGCATTTAAGTCAGAGTTCTGCTACTATTGATGGTGAGTGGGGTCAACAGTTTAATCTTGGGTGTCGGGCAGTTTTATTGGGTTGTTTCATCTGTTTCAATCTTTCAAGCCACCCAGAATCAATCGAATGAGGTAGGTGGCTACAGAAATCATATGTATAATAAAATAAATACAGACACTCCATGTATGCGTACACATGTGGCGGGAGCAGCAGACTTTTGCAAATTCAATTAGTTTGTTGGTAACCTGTGAAGCAAAAACACCAGAGCTTCATCTGTGGGTGGACATCAGAAAGGAAGAGATCAAAGACATAATACTTTTGGATTGGAGAAAAAAAGATTCTATTCTTTATAGTAATGTAGAGAAATAAAATCCCAGCATCAGAGAAGGATGCATGTGGGGGCCAGATCCTTTAACAGGTGCAAATCAGTAAAGCTCTACTAATAGCAACACTCTCATTTACTCCTGTGGTGAGAGCATTAAGCTGAGTCTCAGGAATCAGATTTTGCAGGTTCAATAGAGGTTAGGGGAAGATTGAGTTCTGGTTGAAAACACTAGTTTGCATATCCTAATACCTTGCAATTTAGCCCAACAGGTTACCCAACTCCATGTCAGTTTACTTTTTTTTTTAAATTGCCTTGGCTCCATCCTCCATCCTCTATCTTGCTCAATTGAATTTTTCTTTCTTTCTAATGCTATCAGAGCAACCTCTACAGGCATTTCATTTCGCAAGGGAGAAATTTCATAATCCACAATTCAAAATCCAAATCTTGTATTTCCCCTCTGAAGCAATGTTTAAGGCACGCCTCCTCTTTCTTCTTCTACAGAACAGAAAATCTGCCCAATATCTTCCCCCATTAGCTGAGGCTGCTGGGAGATATAGTTCATAACAATATAAAAGATCTATTTTGTTTGTACGGGACACTTTGAGAGGGAAGAGATGGGTACAGCGAAAACATTTCCTCTGAGATATTTATTGCATATGCAATTTATGCTTCCTGATCTGATTATACAGGTATGTATCACTTCCCTCTTTCGTTCTGATTTGGTTTTAATGATATTGCAATGTGGCCAGCCAATCAACCCGGGTTTTTTTTTTTTTGAAGGACTGATACTGAAGCTGAACCTCAAATACTTTGGCTATCAAATGAGAAGAGAGGACTCTTTGGAAAAGACCTTGATGTTGGGGAAGATGGAAGGCAAGAAATGAAAGAAGGGGATGGCAGAGGATGAGATAGCTATATAGATTCACCAATGCAAAGAACATGAATTTAGGCAAACTCCAGAGACAGTGGAAGACAGAGTGCCTGGCATGCTATAGTCCATGGAGTTGTGGAGAGTAGGACATGACTTAGCAACTGAAAAACAACAAAATCAAGATCAAGCAAGGTACTAATACCACTCTATATAGCCTTAGTAAGACCACACCTAAAATATTGCATCCAGTTTTGGTCACCACACTATAAAAAAGATTTTGAGACTCCAGAAAAAGTGCAGAAAAGAGAAACCAGGATCATTAGGGGACTGGAGACTAAAACATATGAAGAATGGTTATAGGAACTGGGCATGGCTAGTCTAGTGAAGGACAAGGGGAGACATGATAGCAATCTTCCAATATTTGAGGGGCTGCCACAGAGATGAAGGAGCCAAGCTATTTTCTAAAGCACCCAAAGGCCAGACAAGGAATAATGGATGGAAACTGATCAAGGAGAGATTCAACCTGGAAATAAGGAAAATTTTTCTGATGTTCAGAGCAATCAATCAATGGAACAGAAGTTGCCTTCAGAAGTTGTGGGAGCTTCATCACTGGAGGCTTTCAAGAAGAGGTTGGACTGTCATTTGTCAGAAATGGTGTAGGATCTCCTGCATAGGTGGGTGTGGGGTTGAACTAGATGACCTACAAGGTCCCTAGTTGCCTGTCATTTCATCAAACCAAGAAACTTACATCAACTGGCACTAGAGATCAGACTAAACCTCAATCTATGTTAGCTCTTTGTTCTTCCTAAGGGCAACCAATTCCTTCCCAGACATTTCTAAGCATGACACAAATGAAAATGTCTACTGTTTTATTCTCATTTAGTAGCATGCTGAATTCTACCAGCTGTGATGATTCCACAGAATTTCCATATCAAAGGTTCACAGTAATTGGTATAAGCTTCCAAGTATGGACATTCTTTTGATAGTTGAAAAATGCCCCCAGTCCACCTTCTGTTTTTGTAAGTCATTGCCACCTTTTACGAGAGCAAGTCCCACAATTTCTTGAAGAAATACCATAGCACTCTTTAGAAGAAATAGGTCAGATGAATGCTACTCACTACTTACAAAGGTCTCGACCATATTTGGCTTATAGTTGCGAAGGGTCTTTGCAGCAAAGAAAACATCCACCAGCTTGTGACACCTGATCATCTCCAGGATCATGGTGCAGGCGCAGAAGGTACCACTCCGTCCACCTCCATTCCTACAGAAGAAATTAGACACATGAAGAATGCATCTAAAAAGGTGCCCAAGAAGAACTATGGTTTAGCCTAGCATTAGGGAGAGAACAAAAAAACCAAAAACAAGCAAAGGTACATGTCCAGTTTTCCCATACCATCTTACAGATCACTTGAGAGAGACAACATTAAAAGATGGGTTGATGCTACTCTCATGTAGTTATCCTTCACTGAAATGTTTTGACTGGAGAAAAGATGCAGAATTCATGGCATTCTTGCACACGTTTAGTATCTGATCCTTGAAAACCATGTCATTTGGAAGCTTTAACAAAGGGCTCTCGAACATTTACACCATTTGTAAAATGGTGCTTAGTCAAATGCTGGCCAGCTCACAGAGACTTTTATTCATTGAACAGTAAAGGACTCACTCCTTTATTATTGTCTTCAAATGTGGAAAACACACAGGAATTACGATCAATCCTTGCTGTCTTTGATTTTAGAAAAAGCAGCAAGATATATCTCTTCTTAGATATTAATTGGTTTAACTGATGACTTTCTACTTGGAGTGGCCGGAGTTATGCTTTGAACTTTTTTTTTAAAGTAATCATTTCTTTTTGTATTTGGCATTTTTCTCTTAATCTCCATGCAAGTTATTTACAGGTAAGACAGGCTAGGCTATAAATCTAGTAAATAAGCGAAAGCTGCAGAAGCAGCTCTCGTGTCCATTTTGTTTTGCTCAAGAGGAATAATAATGATCTGGTATGGAAATGAACTGGCAATGAACTGGAACTTAGTTTAATATTTATTCTCATGGTTCCCACAAGTGGCAGAACAGACCATCAAACTGCACACTTTTTCAGAAAATGATGTGTTTTTTTCTGAGTGATGCATCATGGAGATACACTTTCAAACATAGCCATTTTGAAAACAAAAGACCCCAGACTGCCTGCTTCTGATAGAATATGATGGCTGGTGGCAATAGCAGAGAAATATCCCTTAGTAAGAGATTAAATTGCTGAGCAAGCTTCAATTGAGTGCTTAAACACACAGGAGTTTAAAGAGAATTTAAAAAAAATAGAGGGGAAGGAAACAGTTACACAGTACTATGAAATGGTGAGCAACTTGTTAATGAAGATAATAGCTGCAAGCACTATTACACAGTTGTGGTCATCAGCATATTAACCTTTCAGGAAAAGTATTGCATAAATGCCAACACTGTAATATTATGTGTACCAGGCTAAAATTGTCGCCTATTTTAAGTGGGTAGGATGGAAACAATCTTCAAATAACAAATTACTGTTTGGGGTATTCCATACACAAGTTGAGATCTCGTGTTTGGGTTTGAGGCACAGTTATTAAAAGTCTTCGACTTACAACAGTTCACTTGTCAGGTTTCCAAGTGATGAAATCCATTTAAAAAGAAAAGTACAAAGTCCATCTTTCAAAAAGATTTCTTTTATTTAGGAAAGCATCAAATTGGCAAAGTCCATGGTAATTCCACATCTGACACAACCCGGAATTGCCCCACAATATTACAAGTTAGAAACAACCCCCAAAAGTCACATTCTCCAACAGAAATAATTCAACAATGCTTGATGTCATAAATCTCCACCTCAAGAGCCCCAAGCAAGGACAGCTCGTTTCCCACGGGAAGGAAGATCACCTAGCCAAAACAACTCTCTTTATCTCCACTCCTCCCCCTTTAGGAATGTGACGAGCCCGAAACCTTCCCCCATGACTGCCACAGAGAAAGTAAGGAAAAGAATATATATTAAGCTTAACTAAAATGGCTACACATATGTCATTTTCGGGCTTGACACACTTAGTGATCATTCAATGTTACAACGGCACTGAAAAAAAGTGACTTACATGCCATCCCATGTCATCCCCTTTTTGCAACCTTCTGACATGCAAAACCAATGGGGGAGACCGGTGGTGGGGTTCAAATAATTTAATAACTGGTTCTCTCCCCGAATGATTTCTTCCAACAACCAGTTCACCGAATTGCTCAGAAAGTTAACAACTGGTGCGAACTGGCTGAGACTCAGATTCACTTAACCAACGGTGTTACTAATTTAACAAGTGCAGTGGTTCACTTAACAAATGGGGCAAGAAAGGTCATAAAATGAGGCAAAGTTCACATAACAAATGTCTCAGTTAGCAACAGTTAGCTCATCAGTCTGGAATCCGCATTGTATATTGGACATTAATACAATTGAGCGAGTCCAGAAGTATTTCACGTGAAGAGTACTACACTCCTCTGCTCGCAACAGAATACCCTACATCCCCAGGCTTGAGATTTTGGGTTTGGACAACCTAGAACTATGCCGCCTATGGTTAGATCTAAGTGTAGCACACAAAATTATCGGCTACAATGTCCTACCAGTCAATGACTACTTCAGCTTCAACCGCAACAATACAAGAGCACACAACAGATACAAACTCAATATAAACAGCTCCAAACTTGATTGCTGAAAGTACGACTTCAGCAACAGAGTGGTCAATGCCTGGAATGCACTACCTGACTCTGTTGTTACATCCTCTAACCCCCACTCCTTTAACCTCAAACTAACCACTATTGACCTCGCCCTATTCCTAAGAGGTCTGTAAGGAGCATGCATAAGTGCACCATTCCTGTCCTATTGTCCCCATTTATTCATACCTATTTCCTGTACTCTTACTCATGTTTATACTTATACCTATTATCTTGTAAGCCAGGGGTCTCCAACCTTGGGCCCTTGAAGCCTGGCGGACTTCGACTCCCAGAATTCCCCAGCCAGCAAAGGTTGAAGACCTCTGTTGTAAGCGACTGACAAATCAAATCAATCAATAAATAAATAAAATAAACATAAATTTTGGGTGCAATTGTGGTTATAAGCTGAGGACTACCTGCATTTAATATGATCATTTCCAACCTGGGCATTCTTCAGATTCTTTGGTTATCAAACCCCAGAATTCTTCAGCTAGCAAGGCCCTTGCTAGAAATTCTGGGAGTTAAAGTCCACATATATGGAATTCTCTGGATTTGGTGAAGGCTGTGGTAAGTGAAGGTGGCAGGTGGTTTTCTTTTTTCTTCTTGTAACAAGACTAGCTAAACTCTTTGAAGGTTGTTTTCCGAGCTGGAAAACAGATCAGAAAACATTTTGGCCAGTCTCTCTCCACTGCTATTGCATTTAATCCAATTGTGAAGCTAACCTCAAAAGGAAACTTGGTTGCCTTTTTCTGGATCTGATCACACAGCTTTTCTATTGCAGAATGTTATTTTGAAGGGGAAAAGATGGGCATTTAGAAATGAAAACTCCCAAATCAATCAAACCGAACACCTGTGCGTGATATTGTCACTGTCTCAAACTCCCAGTATAAGATTAAGCCGCTTCAAGTGTTGCTACTCAAGCACCTGTTTGGCTTTATGTAAACTGGTGTGACCCAAGCACAATTAGTTTCTCTCCCAGCAGTATACGGGCATGTCGCCAGCTTACGCTGTAAATTCTTCTGGGCACGGATTCCCTTCAGAGCTAATAAATCCTTCACACTTGATATAATCAAATTAAGCAGATGTATACAAGATGGCTGTTTATGAGCCAAAGCCTCCTATTCTCTCCTCCTTTCTTTCCTCAATTCCTTTCCCTCTGGAATTTGCAGACATGCTGCCAAATTATCTTTAGACTAATGCACAACCTTAATTTGGCTGTTTCATTACTGGATGCCCTTGTCAACTTGGAAGCCTGCTTGTTCTCTTGGAGTGTGGATGTTGTTGAACCAAAAATCAACAACTGAAGAGCAACACAGTGAGTGAAATTTTTTCTCTCTCAGATACCTTTTGAAATTGGTTTTGGCTGCTTTTGATTCCCAGTTGCAGCTCCTTTACTTAGATGAAGCTTAACCTGCTTTTTTTTTTGCACATTGCATTAGCCTTGTGACTTAAGAGAAGTTTTTTCAGATTTCTGGGCAGAACTTGTGAAATGTTGAGTTAATGAGGTGAATAGGGATACCGAGGAGAAAAGGTTCGAGGCCTAGGGTTACATTTCAATACAATTTAATTGTATCCATGTGCTTAATAAACACTTGCACAGGACACAGGATCCTCTGGTTTGGTTAGACCGAACAAACTTGGATCACTAAACTATAGCTTAATCATTAATTGGATCATTAAACTATTCAAGAACCTGCCTTAGGCCCATGCAATCTGTTTAACAGAATAACTGTTGGAAAGGAACTCCTTCAGGTAGGAAACCTGATACCTTTTCAGATAAGTGGCTATCCAATTTCTTCTTAAAAGCCTCCAGTGATGGAGAACCCACAACTTCTGAAGGCAAGCCATTCCACTAGTTTCTTATTTATTGTTCTCACTGTCGGGAAATTTTTCCTTATTTTTAGGTTAGTTCTCTTCTTGCTTAGTATCCCATCCATTGTTTCTTGTCTTGCTCTCTGCTGCTTTGTCAAATAGCTTGACTCCCTCCTCTCTGTGGTAGCACCTCAAATATTGGAACACTGTTATCATGTCACCCCAGTCCTTCTTTTCACTGGACATAACCAATTTATTTATGAACCGTTCTTCATAGGTTTTAGCCTCTTAATCATCTTTGTTGCTCTTCTCTGTACTCTTTCCAGAGTCTCAATGTCTTTTTTATATCGTGATGAGATCAAAACTGGATGCAGTATTCCAAGTGTGAATTTACCAAGGGATTATAAAGTTTTCTAACACTTCACTTGATCTTGATTCTACCCAGCCTAGGACAGTGTTGTCTTCACCCTGCTCCTCTTCCATTCTTCCTTGGACAAGCATCCATGCTGAAGTCATGGCTTATTTAAACCACGGTTTTCATTATATGCAAATTATATGCATTATATGCAAATTATATGCTTAGGATTAATTTCTGCTTATTGGCCAGGATATAATAGTAGGCTCACAGTAGGGCTTACGGTCTTGACAGATCTTAATCTTTCCTATACAAGACTCTACAGAAACATTGGCATTAGTAATCACATTCACAGGATTTGCAAAAGGACATTTATCTACAGTACTATTTCAACTACTTCCATGTAGGCTCTCTGCCTATGAAGAGTTCCAATCCACAGAACCCCACGATCCTATGTGAATTCTGTTGCTAACAAGGCAGACAACAGTGCGGCATTGACTTAGGGACAAGAATACCATCTCCCTCACTTGAGAAACATTGGTTCTCCATTGGTCTCTTCCCGCTTAATCCCAAGGAATACTTACAAACAATGGACAATGGTCCTGCCATTGCCGTTCTCTCCTTGCCACTTCTCTACTTGGGCTAATAAATTCAGAAAAGACTTTTTTGAATCTGGAACATCTCTGTAAGCTGACCACCGCAGGTACTGAAAATGCCGGACCATCAAGTGTCCTTCCTGTAACTAGAAAAGTCCTGTTATTAGTTCTCTTCTTGTCAAGAGTTTGCTAAAGCCATATTGGTTAAAGATAAAAAGGTGGTTAGAAGAAATGACAGCACAACAAATAGATCTAAAACCAGAATTGTTGTTATTAGGTATACTACCGGGGAAATACAATACAAGAATTACATACTTCATATTATATGTAATAACAGCAGCTATCCTAGATTACATAAATATCCACATTTACACAAACTGGAAAAATGAAAGTATCCCTACAGGATGAAAAGGTATTTTTTAAAAAATAGAATGTGCTGAAATGGACAGGTTAACGATGGAAATTAAGGTTAAAGAAGAAATGGTTACATCATTAACCTGTCTATTTCGGCACATTCTAATATATATTTTAATACCTTTTCATCTGTAGGTATACTTTCATTTTTCCAGTTTTGTGCATATGCGATTCTAGCTGCTGTTATTATTTAACATGGGATCTACTGAGTATAAATAATACAGAGTATTATTTAACATGGGATCTACTGTACAAATGGTTAGAAAACAGATGCGGAGATTA